GGAGCCCCAGCACAGACTAAACCTGGTGTGGTACATAGGCCTGTGATCGCAGTACTTGGGAGATAAGAGTCACAAGGAGCACATGTTCAAGGTTATGGAGTCAGTGGCCAGCCTGGTCTATAATACTGTTAAAACAAAAACAAATAAAAAACAAAAAATTCAGATTTTTTAAATTAATTTGTATGTTAGTTTCACGGATCCCAGATCCCATGTCATTGGGTCATAGCTTCTTTTAGACTGGTTTTCTATGACCAGAAAGTAATGCAAGGATCACACATTTCTTTTGTATTACTATAAAATTATGTTATATGTATCCTTGAACCAGAAAAGACATAATTTTTAACAGGTTTTAGCCATCCTCCCGGAAATGTAAGATCCTCACTGAGCAAATATTTAAAGAGGATTAGGCCTGGGTTGACACCTTTTGAATAGGATAGAAGCTTTGCTTATATAAGTGAGGTGAGTCTGGGCTCATGGTTAGCTGTTAGCCAGGTGCAAAGAGACTCCTAAAAGTGACCAGTTTCTTTCCTGACTAAAAATGTTGGGAATGCCCTGAGGTCAGAGATGCTAGAAGTTCTGGTCAAACTGTCTGGTTCTCCCTGGCTTCAGGGATGTCAGAGAGGGGCTAGGGGTCTGGTCTGCCCCTCTATTTTCCTCTCTCCTGGAAACCATACAGAGAATGCAATCAAAACTACATGGCCATGGCCTGGATACCTGGAATAGAAACTGGCCTGACCAGCTCATCCCAACTGCTCCATTTCCTTCCAGTAAAGTCTTATTAACTCCAAGACAGCACCATCAACGGTACCCCCCCCCCCAGGGTAGGCTGGCTGTCTTCCTTCTCTTAAGCTCCATGGAATGAAGTTATTTCAAAGACTTAACATCTGTGAGTCACAAATCTCATTATTTGAGTTTCCAAGACAAGAACACAAGGGGAAAAAAAGAACCCCAAATCTACCACGTTAGGGTGACTTTGGTGGCCCTAGCCCCACAAGCTAAGCTTACCAAGAGCCACCAAAAATGGTGAAACTTCCTCTCCCAAGTCTCTTCTTGTAGGGTGTGTGGTTATAACAATGGGAAAAATAACCAGTGCACCTAGTGTCATCTGGTACTGTCCAGATCTTTCTAAAATGCATTTCTAAAAGTGTTAAGCCCCTGCTTATAGCCTTCCAGTGGTTTGCCAAGTCCCAGCAGAATTTAGGTTCAGACAGCAATTCGGGAAGCTTCATGTCATAAAATGATCCGGGTACCCTATGTGGCCTTTGTCTGTATCTAAAGCGTTGTTTCTACTGATGCGTTGTTCCAGTGGGTCTGAAGCAGACGCTCTAGTCTATCAAACCTCACCTGGCCTCCCATTCTACCTGATGTCCCCCTACTTACACTTCAGCATCCAGCTCAAGCCGTCCCTCACTTTCTGAATCAACTTCACAGCATCATAACACAGCCTTTCTAAATAATCATTCCTTCCCTAGTGATAACAGTACACTCAGAATCCAGTGATCCCCTAAAACTGGTTGGTTGGCAGTCTGAGACTTAGTAGGAATTTGGTCTATTCTATCTTGTACATCCTTTAGTGTCCCTGCCTTGCAATATGTAAAGTGTTATGTGAATGCTTATTGGGGAAAAGGAAACTCAAGACTACACCAAGACATAATGTCTTCTTTTGTTGGAAAAACAACTTTGAGTGTGTGTGTGTGTGTCCCAGTGAGTCACGCAGTATACGCTTTCATCCATATGTCTTTACTTGCAAGTGCTCATTGAAAAAGTCACTGGTCTGGTTTAAGGCCTCTGGTTTCTGCTACAGGACTGGGGCTGGGCTCTCACTGGGACTCCTCCTGGGTATCCTGTTGTTGCCCTGTGTCATGGAGATCCTGCAGCTTTGGGTCTGCAGGACCAGTCCCTTCACATGCTCCAGCAGATCACAGATGGGTGGATGTGCATGGGTCAACTCATAACCCTGGCTCTGGGCCTTGGTAGATGCAGGGTTGGTCAGCCCGCCAGCTCTTCCCATGCCCAGGCTGGGCAGTAAGAGCAAGGGGTGGGATTGGTCCCTGCTTTCACACCAGGGCCGGATCTCCCACCTGCAATAGTGGCAAAAGGGGAAGCATCTCTCCCTCACCCACACCACTGCATGGCAGATGGTAGTGGGACCAGCGTTTCCCATGACCTTGGGGCCTCCTTCCCTCCCTCCCTCCCTCCATCCATCCATCTCACCCTCTCTCCTTCCCTCCCTCTCTTCCTCCCTCCCTTCCTCTCTCCCTCCCTCTCTCCTTCCCTCCCTCCCTCTCTCCTTCCCTCCCTCCCTCCATCCATCCATCCATCCCTCCCTCTCTCCTTCCCTCCCTCCCTCCCTCCCTCCCTCCCTCCCTCCCTCCCTCCCTCCCTCCCTCCCTCCCTCCACTTCCCCCCACCCTCTCATCCCCACCAACAGGGTAAACTCTACAGTGTTGCCAGGCAAGGTGCTGGGCCTGCAGTGTCTAGTTCTGCAGCCAGTGAGGGGCAGGCATAGCTCTCATGACATCAGGGCCAGTTCTCTGTCCCTGCACAGGTAAAGGGTGGGAGGGGGGCAGGGGGAAATCTCTCCTTCACTCACACCACCCTACAGCAGATGAGGGGTGGGGCCTGACCTCCTAAGCTCACACACAGTCTCAGAGATGGATCACCAAATTGTTTTAAAAGACTTTTACTGTTTCGTTTGCTTATATCAATGCTGCTTAACCACTGTAAAAAAAAAGACTTGGGAGAGCTACAAATGGCATGTAGATGTGCTGTGCCTCACATCTAAACCTGAGGCTGTTGTAGCTTTCTGTCTTCCTGTCACAAGAATTCCTGAGCTGGTGCGGTGGCAGTAGCCTTTAACCCCAGGACTTGAGAGGCAGAGGCAGGCGAACTTTGAATTCAAAGCCAGCCTGGTCTACATAGTGAGACCCAGTCTTTAAAAAAATATAATCCAGGAAGTAGGTATTTGATGTTTTAGAGTAGTCCCATTGTGGCCTATTACAGAGGCGGAGTTTTAAAAGCAAGCCAACCAGAACTGAGCTGTTGCCCTTGAAGGCCTCATTCACTGCAGCCCCAGTGGACGGCAAGGGTCTCTGAGTTGAATCCTCTATGTTGGTTGCATAGTTGGGCTCAGCTGCTGCTTCTCAGTACTAAGGACCATGACATGTTGCTGTGTCCATGGGGTTGTAGTACTACCAACCTGGGCTGGTTGACTGTGGTCCCATATTTACAGTCTGCTGAACCTGGTTGTAATTCTAGACCCCTCAGTTCCCTTTCCGACCAGGATGAATCACTGCCCAAGGTCACAACGGTGATGCTGGAATGTTTATACCCGCAAACAGGTGTATGTATTTCAGAGCTCGTTCACTGAATTTAGATTTATATGTAGGAGGCTCCTTACTCACTTTCTATCACAAAAGAAAACAATCTTTGTAAAAGAACCTTGTTTCTAATTTAAATTAAAAAAGCAAAAAAAAACACCCAAGAAACATTAAAAAAGAATAAAATATTTAAAAGAAATCTAGAATCTAGCCAATGAATGTACTTGTTTTTTTTCTTATTTTCACCATCAGCAGAGCTCTATTGTCTATAATCCTAATAAATAGGTATAAGAGATAAATCTGGTGACACTTTCTAATTCTAAAAGTCTTGGAGTGTCGAGTTGTGTTAGGAAGACTTAGAGCTGATTACTCTGCTCTTCAGGAACTCACTCCTGGAGTATTTTTTGCCAAAGTAAGTTCTACTGACCTGCCTGCAACTCAAGTAGAAATGATGGGATTTGCTTTTCCTCTTGTATGACGGAATTTTGCATAGCTTGGATGTGTAAGTGATATTAACTTTGTCGCTCTATTTCTATAAATACATCTCTGTTGTTAAGTCAAGTATTTCATGAATAAAACCTGATTACATCAGAACAAAGTTCTTTAACAATAATCCTGATGTATATCATAGAAATGTACAACTATTACCTGCTAACTGCCCTGATTTGACCATTGTTCATTGTCTACGTGAACTAGACTGTTCTTCTGTATTCCATAAACATGTAATCATTGAAATAACAAATTGTTAGCTATAGCTTAGTAGTTAAACACTTGTTCTTGCAGAAGACTTGGGTTCTGTTCTGAGCATTCACACTGTGGCTAACGACTGCCTCTTAACCCCAGCTCTAGGGAATCTGACATCGTCTTCTGGCCTCCGAGGGCACGAGGCGTGTACTTGGGGCACACATACATATAGGCACACACCCATACACATAACAACATAAATCTGAAAAGAGATGGCAAAGACTGGTATCTCAAGGTGTTTTTAAATTTACAATGTGTGTACTCTGATAAATCTGGTAGTTTGGTTATGCCGAGCCATACCACAGAGAGAGAGCATGCTAAAGGCTGGTTCTAGCTATTTTGAATTAAATCTGTCAGATGATATACGAGTTCAATGCACAGATAAAACAATGCTGAAGTAGGGCCCAAGAGAGTGAGGTGACTCAACCGCTGAGAGTGCTTGCCGACAAGCCTGACAACCTGGGTTCGAGTCCCGGCCTTACGTGTGTAAGAAGAGAACCGACTCCCACAGTTTGTCCTGCTGACCTCTACATGTGTGCGGTGGCACTTGTGCTCACAACACACCAAACAAACAAACAAACAAACAAATGTAATGCAAACTACAACACGATCCTGAAGTATCCGTTTTATTAGCAAACACAAACTTGAGATATTCATAACAAAACATCAATATTGAGTAATTCTACAGCCTGGAGGCCATCTCCATCCTGTTTACTTTGCTGGAATCTTCCCAGCCACATCTAATCCTCAGTATCTTCCTCCTCAAGCAGGGCAAGGAGAGCACGACTTTACACATCAGGACAACAGCTGGAAGGAAAATGGCTATCATGAAAGTCGGAGGCATGTACCAGACAAACTGACTGCTATCTACCCATTTATTCCAGGCAAAGACCAAAGCGTGCGCTGTGCCCAGAAGAAGAGAGACGACTCCCAGTTTGCTCTGCAAAAGAGAAAACCACAACGACAAAGGTTGACTCAGTAATAGTCAGTTCCACCCTCTACCCCACTGGGACTTGTTCTGTCGCTTGGAAATCCTTTCATTCATCTACAGTTATTTTCTCAACATGTTTTTCAACAAGGTCCATTCTTACGTTTCTACTCTTTTTATATGCAGTCTTCACCACACTACTTTTGGCCAACTGTTCTTGTTTCTAAGGTAAGTTGAAAAGTCATCACCTTTCTTTTAGCTTCTGGGCCTCCTCTGCCATTCTGTTTAATATATCTTTCTTAAGATGCTTTTGTTTTATGGGTGGTGATGGGAATCAAGCTAGCCTTGTGTGTGCTAGCTAAGTACTCTACCGCTGACCAACATGTCGTAACTCATTATGACATTTACATTATGACATTTTTGACTTATTGATTTCATTTTAACTTTGCCTATCAGGCAATATCTAAAATTACACACTGTCTTATAGCAGGGTCTTGGCAGAAACAACACGATGATATGAACATGCTAGGTGTTTGATGAATACTGATAAATTCTATAAAAAAGTGTGTGTGTGTGTGTGTGTGTGTGTGTGCAATTTGCCAATGCAACATTTTTTTTAATGCCAAGCAAATGGTTTTAGTAAGGGAGGTGGAAGAAGCTGCTACAGATTTCTCCCTTCACATAGAATTAAGACATCCTGTTATTTGACACAAGCCCCCCCAAAATCTACCACTTTTTTTTAAAAAAAATTTTCCTGATGCCATATGCTGAAAAAAAAAGGAGACAAAATAACTGTCCCACCAACATTACAGAAGGTCTATTGATAACACAATTGTACATCCTAGAGGATGCTAGAGAAAGTTTAGCAAGGGAAGTCTGAGGCCAGTTAAAATGTTTGTTTAGCCATCTCAGGAAGCAGGTACTGGTAAAGATGTTGTCTCCTGCATCTGGGTGTTGGCAGAAGAGAACTGGCATAAGACTTTTTTTTTTAAATCAAAAGAAAAGTAAATTGAGATAGGGTCTCACAGCGTGTCACTGGCTATTCTCCAACTTACTATCTAGACCAGGCTGGCCAGCAACTCATGGGAATCTGCCTGCCTCTGCCTCTGCCTCCAAAGAGCTGGGATTAAAGGTGTGCCTAGAAGTACTTTAAAACAGATACTAGAACATGGCTGGGCATGCATCTGTGGAGGAGAAAGTTGAATCCTTTTTGCATATGTCAAGGAGTGTACAGCCGGAGCAAAAGCTAGTGTTATTTTTAGCTTTTTTTTTTTTTTTGAGAATCCTCCACATTTATATCCAGAATGGCAGAACCAGTTTGTAATCCCATCAACAGTGGATGAGAGTTTCCCTTTTCTTACAGCCTCTTCAGCATTTGATGTCAGGATGTGTGTGTGTGTGTGTGTGTGTGTGTGTGTGTGTGTGTGTGTGTGTACACACATATATGTATACACACATATTTGAGACAGAGTCTCACTATGTAGGTCCCACTAGTCTGAGACTCACTATGTAGATTAAGTTGACCTTGAACTCATGGAGATCTATGTTTTTTAAAACATCACATATTCTATAAAATGGAAGAAACATTGGGAATAATTTCAGTGTTTGAACAAACTAAACCTCAAGATATGAAGAACTCATTGAGACACTCTGACATTAAACAGAGAGAAAGCTGTTCAAAGTTGTCTACCAGCATACTTTTAAGACAAGATTCTTCTAGACAGTTTTTATTGGAAATAGTCATAGCCTGACAAAATGAATATATCTCATTATTCAGCTGTGATGTTATGCCTCAATTACACAACTAGGCTTATATTCTTAGGATATGAATTGTGGAGGTAAAATTGTGGTGTGACCAATTCTCACTCCAGGTGAAGTTTCTAGGTTTGTAACTGAAAGATGCTCTTGATTGTGTGAAGATTAACTTTCCAAAACAGGTATTATCTATTTACAGGTCACATGGCACACAGATATCAGGGTGCCCAGATTCAGATTAATACCGAAAAGCCTTGCTCATTGTACAGGTGACATAAAAGCAATGTAAGAAAGAATTTCAGGAGGGAGAGGGGATTTCAATGGCCACCAGCTAAGCGCAAAAATCAGTAAATACTTTTCTTCGAGAATGTGGTATGGAGTCTAAGGCATACTGTGATAAAAGAAACTTCGAAGCCTTACCGAGATACATATGGACGTGCAGAAGAGACCGTGGAGAATGCCTCACTGTGTGGAAACTTCCAAAACTACCTACCGTAAAAGTTAAGACTATGACTTCAAATGTCTTGGCAGTTACTTGTGACTGAATTAAGTTGAGCTCCTTGGATTTTGTTAGACAGGCCCTTTTTGGTCCAATGTTCTTTTTAAGTGTGGACCCCTACCTAGAAGATATGTGAGTTCATGACAGAATTCTAAACTCCAGAAATATTTTGAAAGCTCAAGTGATTAAGCTAATTTAACTGTAACTTAGAAAAAGCATCTTGAAAAAATTAGACAACAGAGCCAGGTGTGGTGGCTCATGCCTATAATTCCATCCAGTACTTGGGAGCTGACAAAGGAGGAAGACTTCCTTAAGTTCCAGGCTAGTCTGGGCTACAGAATAGATTCCAGGCTAGCTTGTGCACAAGTGTGAGACTCTATTTAAAAAAAAAACAAACAAACTAGGTATCAGAATACCTTTCGATAAAACTTTGTACTTTAGACAAAGATTTTGTTTTCTGGAGAGTATAAAACTGGGTAACTTATTCATAGACAACTGCTTCTGGGTCAGGGTTTCGTACGTAGTGGAGCAGCTCCCTCGCTGCGATCTATTGAAAGTCAGCCCTCAACACAAGGGTTTGTAAAAAAATATTTTAAAAAACTATGTAACTACAAAGCATGACTAGAAAAATGTTTTTATAGGGGATCTAGTAAACCATTGATATTCCTAAAATGCCATATTTTTAGTTATTGGATGGGAGCATCAAATTGTCTAAAAAGTTTTAAGTGTGAGAAACAATGTTTTAGTTTTAGTAATGTCTCTTATTTATGTCTACAAAATGCATCCTATAATTTATAGAAGCAATAGAAAAACAGTAAGAAAATATTAATAAATGATATGTTTACTCCTGGAATACTAAATGGAATGGTATGGACCGTTTACTCCTGGAAAACATTGTTTTTATGGAATAAATCAATATAGTTAACATTCTAGGCAGGTGTTATTTTTGCGCATCACTGACCTGGATATAGTGGAATTCTCTCCATGTTAAAGAGTCACTCACAGATGGGATAGATGTCACAGCCAGGAGAGCCAGGATGGCCAGTCCCACAATCCCCAGGGACACGTAAATCTCCATTCTCCAAACATCGTGCTCAATCCAGGCATCCTCTTTGTTTTGTTGAATCTAAGAAGAGGAAGGCAGCCATGCTTACTGATAGGTAAACTGATGTGATGGTTTACTCTGACAGAACTGTGGAGTGCATGCAAACTCTGGTAAATAAGTAGAGGATTAAAAGAAAAAAATCAGTCCTTACAGTCGCACTGTCAGAATGCTAAGATTGAAGCATGACTGTCTATGCAAAACATTTTTATGTTCAAGTTGTTACTTATTTTCAATTCAAAAATATTCCTCGATATGAGATGAGGAATACTGGGATACTGCTGTTACCGCAACAAGAAAGTGTTAGTTTGCTAAGTCGTTTGGACCTTTTGGTTTATTAATCTTGCGGGTATCACCTCCCTACCTGTTTGTACGCCCAGTTGAGCAGCTTGTATCTGTAGGACCGCCTCATCGGGTACGACAGACTGTACAATGCGTGCAGCACAGCGAAAAAGAAGCTGAGCAGCCCGAACTGCTTCCGGGCCAGCATCCACCTGTCTAGCCACGGTGGGAATTTCTTGTACTTGGTTCCATTGCGAAGTTGTACCACTGTTGCTATCACCCCTGGCAAATAAACCAACGCCAAGAGGGTGATGGAGACCATTGGCAAGACTTTGTTAATGACCAGGATGGGAATTCTATAAAAGTACTGTTTGTGGGAAGTTACTAAAGGGTAAATGATTTCCCTCAGAACAGTGTACAGGAAGGTCAGGGAGGATAGAATGGCGGCAATTTTAATTGGCAAGCGCCAGTTTGGGAAGAATTCCTGGGTGTGCTGAAGGTCAGAGGGGCACTCAAATGCGTCCACATGGACTGTGTGCTGCAAATGCAAGAGCACGGGTCCTTTCAGCATGCTTGTCTCGCCCGTGTCCTTAGTCTGCAAGAGAAGGAGAGGGAACTTCTTAGCGCGGGGCAAAGCAATGGATTTCTTTTACTCTAATAGCTTCCTGCTCCATCATTGTTCTTCTCAATGAATAGGGAGTGTGGATGCCTGCCAGCCTAGGACGGTACAGCCTAGGTGCGACTGATCGAAGTTGCATCTTGATACGATAGAATTCTCCTTTTGTCTATTTGTTCCCTCTTTGTGTTTGAGGCAGGGTCTCATGTAACCCAGACTACTCCCTTTATAACCAAACTGCCAGGTTCTGGGCAAGTATTGTCACTGAACTGGATTCCATTTCTCTTTAAAACACTTATACTAAAGCTTAGACAGCCATGTCTCTTTTGAAGATTTGAAATAATGGAATAATCTTAAGAAGCCAAATTTTTTTAAAAAGCTTTTTTTTTGGGTCCAGTATTCTTTGCCAAAACCAGCAAACTTGCATTTCATATTAGGTGTTCTATAATGTTTCTATTGGTTCCTGGGCAATTAATTATGCAGGGCAGTGACAGTGAATTCATTAATTCAAATGCAAAGGATCAGGAATAATAGGGCCATTACCAGTAAAGAAAATATGAATTTCATTATGCAGTTGTGGTGGTTGGAATGAGAATGGCAGGAATAATAGGGTCATTATTGCAGGGGAAATATGAATTTCATTATGTAGCCTTGCACTTTCATTTTATATTTCTAAAACAGTCATTTGTTTAAGTAGTGATCCATGAATATACAATCAGAAATTTTTAAAAAAGCTATTTAACTAACTAGTTAACTCCTGACGACCTGCTTCCTTGATCTGCTTCCTGACAAGTTAATACTTCTCTGTCCACTATTTTTTTTTTTTTGGTATTCGGTAATTCAAAGAATGTGTGTTGTATAATTTGTCATTTTCACAAGGGATAAACATAAACAAATTAAAATCCTAATTAAGATCATGGAGTGTTTCCTGTCGGGTTCCTTTATGAATCACTTGCTTCTTATCCCTTAGTTTTATCCTCACTTTTACAGCTCTGTGTGTGCCAGAGGGGAACGCTCTGCTGCCTGCCATGATGGGCACGGTTATCCTGCTCATCTTAGCGCATGCAGAGGAACTTTAATCCACACAGCACTCCATAATTACCGGTGCTTAAGAATGACCTCTCCAACCCAGCTGAATTTTCCTTTGAGTCACACATCGACGCTCTATGCTCTATCCAGGGCCTTCCTATCACTCCACATGGTAAGAAAATGGCTTCTGTAACTCTTGCATGTTAATAACACCTAAATGAATTAACAGAACAATTTTCTAGCTAAGACTGAAGATTAGGATACAGCAAGTAAGGGAGCTAACTTGAAAAATGAAAATGATTTTGTTCTACAGGGTTATTTTTGTAGCGTAAATGTTTGTAATTCTTACTCCTTTTCCCTTTGAATAATTAAAAAAACAATCTGTTAGAACTGCATTTCATATATTTTAAAAAGGTATGTATTTTGGAACCAAAGATTCCTGACACTTTTTCAAATGATGTAGTAAGAAACATTTAATCCTGTGGTTGACCCAAAGTGGGACAAGAGATTCTTTGCACGAAGAAAATGTATTTGGTTAAACAGTGAGTCATCGTTTACTTGAAGGTCTGTCCTGTAAGCTGCCATAGTGCCTATAAAAATGCTTACAAAACTCTGTTTATATGGGACATCGTAACTTTTGTTTTTAAACTTAGAACCAAACGTGTTAGAAAGGACTGGAAGGGCTCTAGGGATGATCTAGTCCAGTTCATTCACTTTGTACAGAAATACAAGACCTGGGGTTTTCAGGGACCTGATGAAGGTTATTCAGCTATGCCCAGATAAACTAGTCAAGTCAACTCAATTATACTACACTGCCCCTCACTCAGGCCAACTTCAGTCACACGTATCCGAACGCAGAGACCAGCAGTCTAGAATGGAATGTACTTTTTCAACACTAGTAGATTCAGAATACACTGAAGTGTGTACAGATTTTAATTACTAGCTGTTATAGTCATTATTTTACCGAGTAAATGTCATCTTCTAGACTTCTCTTAGGCTTCATTTTCCAAAGTTCTTCTCGGTTTGTAATATCTTCACTGATCTCCATGAATGCTATAAAATAGTATGGCTTCAGCCACCTAGAAAAATATAAAAAAAAGTCTATTCCATTTATGATACTATTGTTTGATGAACAATATAAACTACTTATTTATTTTAGAATGAGAGAAGGTAGATACAATTAAGATTCCAATAGTGAATAACCTGGACATTTAGAGAATGGCAAACCAGCACACTAATGTCAACTATTTGCTCAATGAATGAATATATCTATACGAAACATAAGGGATTAGCTTTTATTTTTACTTCAGGAAGATTTAACTTCTTAAGAGCTTTCATAGAGCCCAATGCAGGCTTGGTTTAGCCCTTTTTATTCAGGAGTAGCAGGATGTCATATTATTCAGTTTTGAGTGAACTCTAAATCCACTCTTGGAGGACTCCATCGGCAATCTGTACTTTGTCAAACAAAAGAGAAAAACAAGTTAAACATACAACAGTTATGTTGGTGGAAAACACTCCAAATACCTTGGAAGTTTGGATCACCTGTAACACTTCATTAAGTAGAAAATCATTTCCAGGAATGGGTTGTAATACTCAGAATACTTTCCAAGTTTTAAAGCTCAGGACTTCTCAAAGAATAGAGGAGTCATATTTCCCAAACACCAATTTTTTTGTTAAGGTGCTTTGGAAAAATTTTCCAGAATTACCTGCCTAGAAACATTCAGCATGAGAATATAGGCTGAGCATCCCTTGTGTGAAATCACAAAGTTGCTCCAAAGTGCAAAACTGGACTCTTGACAGGGTGACACATGTGGAAAGTTCCAGACACAACCTCATGTGAGGGTATGCGTTTACATTCCAGGTACAATAAATATACTATATTGCATGCTTTTTAGATGGGGTCTCAGTGTACAGTCCTAGCTGTCCTGGAACATGCTATGTAGAGAGACTCAGACTCAGACAGTCACCTGCCTCTGCCTCCTGAGTGCTGGGATTAGAGGCGTGCACCACCACGCCCAGCAGTGAGTGCAAACCATCCGCAGGACGAGCATATGCAGATAAGGTGCATATGAAGCCAGAATGAACTTCCTGTTCAAACTCGGTCTTATCCGCAACAAAACCTTATTGTGCTTATGTGACTATAAAAAAAAATAACAGCAAAGTATTTCTGGTTTAAGTGTCTTTAGGATTTATATGACACTTAAAGTTGTATTCACTGTTTTGGCTGGCCCATTCGACATTGTTCCTCTGATTGTAGGACACAGGCTTGGCCATCCAGAGTTAATTCCTGTGGTCACATTGAGTAGCTTAGGATGGCAGCCAAGTCTAGTGGGCAAGTTAAGTCCCCTTCTGATACAATCTCCACGTCACAGAGAATGAAGAGATACCCTCAACATTTTTTGTTAAGTTAGGGTAGCATAAAACTACCATGCCACCCCCTGTATAAGTTGGAAGACTTCTTTATTTGAACACAAGAAAGCCAACACCGGAAAACCAAGCAATAAATAAAGGACAAGTCCTGGTGGCCGTAGTTTAAAGTACTTAATGCACCTGAGACCAGATCTTGGATTTCTCCATTACATTAGTTAATCCCCCCTTTTGAAGTTTGAGTTGTGTTCTGACCATTGCCATGTGAAAGTCCTGGGTAAAGCGTATGCCATTCAACAAGCATTTACAAGGCTAAGTCCACATAGATGCTAAAAAGGAAAAAGAATGGAACCTCATACCTGACCTGGAGGAGCTTACAGCCTTTCAAAAATTTTATTTCATGCCACTTGGCAATTTTATAAAGAGAGTAGTTTGGGAGGGGTGTCTAGGAATAGAGTAGCATGCATGTAATGAAACACAAGAAACAATTTACTACGTTTAGAGCGTATTTTAACTCTGGTGGTTCAGAGCGTG